ATCACTTTTTAAATTTAAAAAAATATTTTTGAAATTATATAAGCTATATATATTATAGAGAGAGAGAGAGAAGGAGGGAGACATATAGAGAGAGTGAGCAAGCACAGGTGTGCACTTTCAAAAAAATAATTTTATACTCATTGTCCTCAATATGTAAATATCTGAGTTTGGACTCCAGTCTGGGTTACCTGACTTCAAAGTTGTCCCCCATAAACTTTCACTAGGCCTTGCTCCAAAGTACTGTACTTCACTGAATTTAAGGTGACCATGAAACAAACAGACATAAGTAGCTGAGCTATTTGAAAAACATGGGCTTGTTCAGTAGGAAGGTATTGAGGTAAAACTTCAGATTTATGAGTAAGTACCAAAGATATATTAGTTGGAACATGAGATTTCTAAAAAGAGGAAACAGAAGATACAATATTCATTCATTCAACTAAGGGTATGCATGTCTAGCATTATGCTTATCAAAATAGTTGATCTCATTGAATAGTTTTATATATAATTTCTTTAAAGCATTTAAATTTTTTTCACTTTAAAAGATATATATGTGTGTACATATATGTCTTATTCTTTTAAAGGTTCTAAAGGAAATTTGGAAAGATACAAGGCATTTCTAAGGAAGTACCATAGGAGAAAGAAGATAATGGTATGGTATTTGTTTTCATCTTCCTTGAAAAATTATATTTTCACAGAAAATTATTATAATTTCACAGATAAGCACTGATAGAATTTTTTTTTAATTTTCTTGTTAGTCTTTTATTGTCTATTTGTGTATCTATCTATGTGTTTTTAAAATAGCTAGACTCATATTCTTCTTTACACACTTAATATTAGAATGCTGGCATTTTCACATTACTATAAATTACTTGAAGACTTAATTTAATGTATACATTCCAACCTCCAGTTATTTAATAATTTATAATAACCTATACTTAGTAGTGCAGGTTCTATATCAGTCCTCTTCCTTTAGAAAAAATTAACAATTCTTTCTGATTATTTAGAATTGCTTTGTCAATTTAAAAAAAAAAACTCTGATTTTTTTTATTAGAATTATAATAGACTTTGAATTACTTTTAGAAACTTAATCCTTTTCAAAAATACATTCTAAAATTATATAATGTTAAAGCTATAAAGACTTTAAGTGCCACCACTAGTCTATCCACCTCACTAAATGTTATTTTTCAATTTTCAAAATTACTTTATTTTTTCCTGATTATGACTAAAGTAGTCATTTTAGAAAATTAGAAGAAATAGATGAGCAGTAGAAAGGATAAGCACCCTAATTCTATCATTTATAGATAAATCGCATGTACATCACTATCTAGTTGTTGCTTTCATTCTTCTTTTATTTTATTTTAAAAAATAATTTAGAAAATTCAGAGTAAATTATATATTTGTAATTCATTAAATGTATTATGAAATTTTCATTAATATATATTCTCCACCATCTTAAAAGTAAACTAATGTAATAGCCCTTTGGTTAGACATTTAGGTAATTTTCATTATTCGCTATTATTTACAAAGCTGTTGTGAACATATTTGGAACTAAAGATTGTGCTTGTCCATGATTATTTTCTTAACATAAATTTCCGGAAGTGGAACCACATAGGAAAAGAAATGTGATAATCTAAGTGTTTTGATACCTATTGCCAAATTGTTCTCTAGAAAGGCAGTACCAATTTATAACAATAGGGTTTGTGATTGATCTCTTATCCATTTCCTTGTCAACATTTAATACTATATTTTTTGTGGTTTGCACAGTTGATAAGCATAAATGTTATCAATTGTGTATGTTTTACTAATGAAGTTGATACTTTAGGTTTTTCTTAGTCTTTGTGTTTCTTTTTCTGTGAATTGCCTATTTATGAAATTTGGCCTTTTTTTTTGGCTGTTCTTTTTTTTTTTATTTCTAAGAGCTGTTTATGCTTTAAAAATATTAACCCCTTCAGTAATATGTATTTCTTTGTTGCCTTTTAAAAGGGTTTTTTTGTCATATAGAATTTTACATTTTTATGGATCTATAATTTTCTTTTGAAGTTTTCTGCCTTTAGTGCCATATTTAAGAAGACTTTCTTTGTCAGAAGATCATACATATATGCACTTGTGTTCTGTTCTATTATTATTGCAGATATTTGTGTGTGTGTGTGTATTTAATTCTTTAATCTACCTAGTGTTTATTTTTGTGTAAGAAAGTAAAACAAGGATTTTATTTTAGGTCATCAGTAAATTTGTGTGATTTTCTTCATATAAGTTCTAAATATTCCCTGTTAAATTTATTCTTAGGTATCTTAAATTTTTATTACTAATGTCCGTGAAATTGCTTTTCCATTATGTTACTCAGTGGGTTATTGTTGGCATATAGGAAATTATTTTTGGTATATACATATTATTCAAGAATGTTAATGGTTTCTCATCTTGTCTTTGATTTGGAAAGAATGCTAGTACTTTGCTACAAGCATCATTTTAAATGTTTAGATAGCTATCTTTTTTTAGATTAATGAAATTTATTTCTATTCCTAGTTTATTAAAGCTTTGTGGATATGGTGTAGATTAGATATAGATCAGTTAGAGATCTAGATACAGGTATTGCTGTGCTCAGACACTTGAAAAAGAATCTTCATGGTTTGAAATGGAGAGGAAAATAATCTGTGATGATAGCAGAAGCTACTTTCAACCTTTAATCTCTGTGGCAGATTACATTAATAACTTTTTTTTAAAGATTTTATTTATTTATTTGACAGAGAGACACAGCGAGAGAGGGAACACAAGCAGGGGGGAGTGGGAGAGGGAGAAGCAGGCTCTCCGCTGAGCAGGGAGCCCGATGTGGGGCTCGATCCCAGGACCCTGGGATCATGACCTGAGCCGAAGGCAGACGCTTAATGACTGATCCACCCAGGTGCCCGACTTTAATAACTTTTCCAAAGTTGAGACGTTCTTATATTCTTAGGGTATACTTTTTTATTGCATTACTGGATTTGATATGCTATTGTTTTGTGTGGATGTTTGCATCCATGTTTGATAAGATGATTTTCTTTTGGTTTTGGTATTAAAATTTTACTAAACCCAGAAAATGGGTTACTTAGCTTTATTTCTCTTTCTAGTCTGTAGACTATAGAGCATAGTAGTTATATAGGGATATCATTTGTTTTATATATATATGTGTGTGTGTATATATATATGTGTGTGTATATATATGTATATATACATTTGTTCTTTGGATGTTTGGCAAAAGTCAGCTATGCACTTCAGTTGATTTGATTATTATTTATATTTTCCAGAGGGGAAGAGGTAGGTCGGTAACAAAGCTGTGTGGGGGCGCCTGGGTGGCTCAGATGGTTCAGCGTCTGCCTTCGGCTCAGGTCATGATCCCAGGGTCCTGGGATCGAGGCCCGCATTGGGCTCCCTGCTCAGCAGGAAGCCTGCTTCTCCCTCTGCCTCTCTCTCTGTCTCTGTCTCTTATGAATAAATAAATAAAATCTTTAAAAAAAAAAAAGCTGTGTGGAAGTTAACAGATTTCATAAATATCAACTTGGGTAGATTGTCAAAACATAATATTGAGTGGAAAAAAGTGAATTACTAAATAATATGTACAGTTGATACCATTTCTTTAAATTTTATTTGTTTATTTTTAAAGATTTTATTTATTTATTTGACAGACAGCGAGAGAGGGAACACAAGCAGGGGGAGTGGGAGAGGGAGAAGCAGGCTTGCCGCCAAGCAGGAAGCTCGATGCAGGGCTCGATCCCAGGACTCTGGGATCATGACCTGAGCCGAAGGCAGACGCTTAACAACTGAGCCACCTAGGCGCCCCTCATTCTCTTTCTTTTAGCAATCTGTTATCATTCTTTCAAATTTGTTTCCTATGTCATTTCCTCTATAATGTGTGTTTTGGATAATGTGTGTGTGTGTGTGTGTGTGTGTATGTGTATGATTTGCCTGTGAGCTTAGTTATTTCTGGAAGAAGTGGGGATGTGGAAATTAATAAACAATTTATCAACATGTCTGGATGATCAAAAACTAATGTATACAGAAGGCTACTTAATCTCTGTGTAAAGTAGTATGGTGGACATAGAGATGCACCACCCAGATTCCCCGTCAAGGAAGAATCTGTTGTCCTAGCTGCTAAGAGTGCTGTTAGTGGGGCACCCTTCAGCTGTCAACCCCTTTGGGGTTGCTTCACCTACAGAGAACTTCTTCCAAAGACATACCCTTCCAGGAACCACCTACATCCAGTGACTGATCAAGTTGTGGGCAGAAAGGCCTGGCTCTTTCAACCCAATGCAGGACAACTATGATAGGCCCTTTCAGCTCTAGAGCCCCTTTTAGAGTCCACTGAGGCTGTTAGACTTGTATCATAGCTGATTTCTCCAACTTCCCAATTATGCCTCTCCCCTTGCCTTCTGTAGATATTGATCCCAAAGGCACTCCCAGTAGACATTCTGAATACTAAACTCCACCTCAGAGTCTATTTCTCAGTGAACCAAAAGTGCAATAAGTAGTTTTATATTTCTATTATAGCCCTTATCTCTCTGTTTTGTTTGTATATGTATCTGATTCCCCTTTTGAACTATGACTAGCCTGAGGGCAAGGACCATCTTTGTATTCCTACCATCTAGCACAGTGACAGCATTCTAGGCTTCAGTAGGAGATACACACACACACACACACACACACACACATACACACAATTAACTGAACAAATTTACAAAATATAATTTAGAATTTTAAACATTTTATTTGAATGTTTTCCAGCTTTCAGATGAAATGGAGACAAAGAAGACTGTAGAGGTATTTAAAATTTCTGTTCTATAAGATTATGTATCAGAAGTATTATATAGAAATAAAGAATGTTTACAATAATATAGATTTAGCTATAAATATAGATGGGGCTGTAAGAGAGAGAGGTGGGAACAGGCATAGACGCTTTCTCCTTCTGCCTAGTCTTTCTTTATGGGTAGTCTAGCTAAAATTCTTGATCATTTGAGTTGTCAAAGTTGTTTCTGAAATATGATTTTGTTTTGCTTTTGGATTTGGCATATGAATATGCCAGGGCTCTTAATTTGAGAGAATCAGAAAATAGGAAGATTTTTTTAAAGTAGGATAAATAGTTTTCACTTATTTTAATAAATGGAAGTAAAATAATTATGTTAATGAGTTATGGTTAAATATTTATCTGTCTTCTGTAGTCCTGTGAGACGACTTTACTGGAAAGGGTAAAGTAATGACTGTTGTGTGATATTTCCCTCTTTCTAGGGTTGCATCTTCTCAGGATTCAAAACAAATGAGCTTACTCAACTACCCAGACATTTGGATGCTGAACGAATTTATCTTTTTATTTTAAAAGCCCATAACTTTGATGTACGTAAACATTTTTATTGTATGATACATTTTGAGAATATGATTTCATGAATCAGACTTTTATTTAAAGCTATGACAAATTAGGTGATAAGCATGATTGAATTTTGAGGGCCTTAAGTCTGGCAGGAAAAGACCAGTGATGTTTAATGCTTTGATCACCAGAAAAGAATGTATTAGATTCTGTGTTACTGCCTCAGGTGTCTGAGGTTGCTACTGTGCATTGTCTTGGCATGTTACTGTAATGAGTGTTTTCCCCTCCCTCTGCCTGCTTTATCAGCTCAAGAGATTTTAGTCTGTTTATTTTGACCCCAGAATAACTTATGAGGGCCCTTCTCTACAACGCCACCTTTTTCCAAGTGTCTGGGGAATTTTTGAGTAGTATCCCTGTAAGATAGCAAATTGAAAAACTGCAGGCATAGACAGTAACTAGATCATTGCCCATTGCTTGCCAAGGGTAGGATGAGAGTTGGGTGCTACCTAATATTGATTTCCCCCTTAAATATTAGGTGGTCACCCAACAAGGTTTCTATTTCTTGCAGGTTTCAACAATGTTCCTTATACCCCAGGCAGATTCCTTCCAGATAGTTCTCTGGGATGGACTTGGCCTTGGAGTGAATTACTTAAACCCCTCCTAGAAGGGGGCCAAGTCCATCCCTCACCTCCCCATACCTCACCTCCCCATCCCTCACCTCCAGCCTTCCTGTGCCTCTTCATTTCTCAACATAAAATCCCTGTTGTTTTCTCTCCTACTATAGTTCATCAGAAAGAGCATAATCCACCATTAAACCCTGTTTTTTCACTCTCTTCAAGATGTCATGTTCCAAGAAGTAGAGTGTGATTGACCTGTTTACCCCTCAGTTAGGCAACTACAGAGCACCTAAATTGACAATTATATCTAGAATGATTCAGTAATGATACTCTGTCTTATTTTCCATACTGATAACAAATGTTTTTCAATTCTCTTTTATATTTTGTGGGATTTTGGTGAGAGTAAAGGCTTAGTCTGCCCCCTTTATATGATCACCTGATCCCATTTTTGTAGAGAAAAACTATAGATGGTAATTGTAGTTATGCCTGGATCATGAGCCTATTTATTTGTTTCTCTGACTATATTTTCACAATTTCCTTGGGAAAAAGGCTTTATTGTTATAAAAAGAAATTGATAAATTATTGTTGTTAAAATAAGTTTATAAATGTTCTGGGTAATCTATAATATTCTAACATTCCATGTTCTAAGATGGTACTGTATTTTAAATATGGATGCATGTACATCTAACACAAATCATAAGGCAATCACATAAATAAGGCATAGATGTACAGCTATGAGAAATTATTAATATGGTTAATTTGGAGGATACTGGCATTATTGAAAGAAATAGGGAAGTGAGGAGTGGAAGTAGATATGGGTAGGGGGTGGGTGGAGTATGACAAGCATCTGGGTATATCTGGGCATAGATACCAGTGTTTTATTTGTTAATACCCCTACCTGATTTCAAAAAAAGAATTTAAATTGGCTTACTATAGCATGTACAATGCAATGGCATTGAAATAAATAGATAATGAAATTAGAGTGAAGAGAATATAAGTGTAGGAAAATAAAAATATCAGGAAAGGTTATTTCATAGAAATGCTTATAGTAACAGACCAAGAGATTGAATTTTTGGATCTGAAACTTGGAAAGAGAAGGTTATAGGTTTACTGTTACATGAATGAAGGTATGGGAATCCATGGAATTGATGAATTCACCTAAACCCATCAAAACACATTCCTGTGCCATACAGTCATTATCCTCTGTATCACCCAGAACGGAACTGTGGCTACAGGTGATGCTCAGTAAAAATTTTATTGAATTAAAATGAGTGAAAAATGACCTATATTATAAATAAGAGGAGCAAGCTAAGCCACAGGCATACTGATATACAGGAATAGAAATTCAAGAGAAAATTAGAAGTAATTTTATCCAACCTAGACTCAATGTTAGAACCAAGTTAGATAATCTAAGTTTTAAGGTGTGTTTACATTTACTTGACTCAAAAAAGTATCACAAAGTCGGGAGGGGAGAGGAGAGAACCATTTAACTTTTTAAACTGGGTTTTGGGCTTCTTAGCCAATTTTAATTTTTTGGTTGTTTTGACTAAATATTGATATACTTTAAAGAACTTGAAATTTTACTGAAAAAGGAAGTTAGTGATACTAAACATAACCAAACTTAGAAACAGTTATGGAGTTAGCGTATAGTTAAAAGCATCTTTGCTTGAAATTTGCAAATAATTTAAACAAAATTATTTTCCCCCATATTTCAATTTTCTACTTTTTTCTTTATGTATTTCACATATCTTCTTTGTAATGAAAAAATACTAAATCTAAGCTGTTAAGTACTAAGTACTAAATTGAAGCTGTTACCAATGTACTCCATACTATAATTAGTGGCCTATGGAAGACAAGTGCCCCCACAGAATATGTAAGTAATCTTTTTGGTATAAAAGTCTACATGATGTCCTTTTTGTAGACATGTGTTGAGGAACAGGAATTCATACCTATGGATTTCATTAAAGTAAGTCTTGAACTCTATTGAATCTGGTATTTAAAAACTTTTAGTAAATAAGTAAGATAAAAATGATCTATTGAATGTGACTATTCAAACCAAGATTTACCTTATGTGACAATTTTTTATCAATTTCTTTAAGAATACACTCTGTTTGGATGGAGTCTAGACTTATGATGCGGTTTGTTGGGATAGAATTCAAAGATATCTGTCTTTAGAAATTATAGCATGTACCTTGAAGTTTGCTGTTCTTTGTCTAGCCTACACTGTCATTTCAATAGTTACTAGGCAAATGTAATTGTTGAGTATATGAAATGTGGTTAGTGTGACTGATGAATTTATTTTATTTCTTTTAATTTATATATAAATTTTAAAACTAATAGTTGATTCCGTTATTGAAAACTTTCAATTATGGTTGGAGCAAAATCACAACTATGTATTTATGAAGCCTGAATACTGATCTAGTATTTATGATGAAAATTTATTATTCAAATTGAGATGTGGTTTAAGTATAAAATATATACAATATTTGAAAGACTTATTCCCACAAAAGAATACAAAATATTTCATTAAGAATTTAATGCCCATATGTTGAAATAACATTTTAAATATATTTGATTTAATAAACTTTATCCTTAAAATTAATTTCACTTTTTATTTTTATAAAGTGGCCACTAGAAAATTTAATATTATATATATATGGCACAATTAAATTTCTTTTGAAAAATGCTAGTCTATAACCACTGAATACATACTCTTTATAAAGCCTATTTGCATTAACATGTTTTATAATGGACTTTAATTTGACCTCCATGCATCTTTTGTTCCATAGGAAAAGGTTTTCAAAATCTGGAAGACCCATTTTCTCTCAGAAGCCTCTATTGCCCTTTTACATGATTCCTTTTGGTGGTGGTTTCTGCATAAATTTAAGGTATAATGTTACTTTTTTTTTATATTCTTATGTTAATCCCCATACATTACATCATTAGTTTTAGATGTAGTGTTCCATGATTCATTGTT